TACAGAGAGGGAGAAAGAGAAAGACAGACATACAGACATACAGACATACAAACAGAAGGGGTACAGAGAGGGAGAGAGAGAGAGGGGGGGGGAGGGACACAGAGAGGGAGAAAGAGACATACAGACATACAGACATACAGACATACAGACATACAGACCTACAGAAGGGGTACAGAAAGGGAGAGAGAGAGGGGGAGGAGAGGAGAGGAGAGGAGAGAGGGAGAGAGATAGGGGAGGGACACAGAGAGGGAGAAAGAGAAAGTCATAAAGAGAGGTAGAGATAGAGAGTGGGAGTGAGAGAGAAGGAAAGAATGGATGAAAAAGAATGAGAGAGAGAGAGAGAGAGAGAGAGAGAGAGAGAGAGAATAAGAGAGATAGAGGGGGAGACACAGACTGAGTTAGAGAGGGCGGATGGAGTCGAGAAGCAGGCTCAACAGGCCATAAAACAACATGTCCCTCTTAAAGATTTTAATCTTCCGTAATGAAAGGTGAGGAGTTATCTCCAAATCACTGCGTGTGAATGTCGTCCGATCTGAAGAGTAGATGCTTCAAGCTATTTTCTGGGCTGTCACGTAATAGAAAGCTTTGAGTTTAAAACACGCATTTTGTATTAAAAAATGTGTCCTCTTTAATATTTGAAAGTAGTGAGCCCACAGCGAAGCATCTATTTATTTATTTATTGCCGAAAATGTCAGACAGCTTTGCCCTTGTGCTTCATGGCCACAGAAAAAAAGAGTGCGTTTTGTTGCATCAAAGTTCATAGTTTTACCCAAAGCGGAAATGACATCATTTACGTTTTAACTGAGAATCGTGGGGGTAGGGGGTTGTTTTGTTTTGTTTTTGTACTACTTTTATGTGCTCTTTCCAACCTGACAGATGTGGCATTTGAATGCGTTCATCAAACAAAATGAACCACGCAAAGAGGAGCTGTTCGGGCAACACGATTACCGAAGAAATGTTCGCGAGTCCACTCAGTCCTTCGTATTTTCTCGTTTTTATTTCTACATAATTTGTGGACTTTCAATCTACGAGAGTGAAGGAGAAGATATAACATGATGTATTACGTGTGCACAATAAGACACC